AGATGTTCATTCATTCTGCATATCATATTTTGCTCTGCATCTTCCCTGATTAGAGGGAACACTATGTCTAGGGCAGTGATGCTCTGTATTCGGGGGGGGGCAACACTAGGAGGGTTTCTGGAGTTCTGGCCCCATTGGTGGGACCTCCTGATGGCACTTGAGTTTTGGCCACCGCGTGACACAGAGTGTTGGACTGGATGGGCCACTGGCCCGATCCAACATGGCTTCTCTTATCTTCTTATTAAATCTGATTCCAAATTAATCCTACTCTGACCATCTATCAACCATTGAGAGTGGTGCCCTAATCTGGATAGCCCAGGCAAACCTGACCTCATCAGATCTCAGAAGCGAAGCAGGGCCAACCCTGGCAAGTATTTGGATGGGAGACCTCCAAAGAATACCAGGGCTGGGAGGCAGAGGCAGGCTATCAAGCCACTTCTCTGAACGTCCTCCGTGCCCCAGTAGGAGTCGCCAGAGGTTGCCATGGCTTCCAGCACCAGTGCACACACATGCACACGCACACACAAAGGCAAAAATACCCATTTGAGAGTAGTCCCTACCGCAGCAGGACTTCCATTTAAATATTGTGCAAAAGGCTAATACAGCTATCCCTCTAGAATGAAGGAATCTAAGAGTATCCTGGTCTTCAAGATACCTCAGCCTTCTATTTTAAATGTCTATGTCTCAGAACTCTAAATTTTAAAAACAACTTCTGTGTGCACAAAATCTGGATGTCGGGGGAAGAGTTAGGTCTAGCTTTTTGTGTGCGGAAACAAAACCATGTGGTCTCTTGTCTGAAGTGGCATCACCCAGGAGGAGTCTGACTTCTGTTTGCAAGAAAGAATCAGACAACAAAAGTGGCTGCGTGTTTTACAGCTCAGAGGCTTCTTTTACACAAAGCATTGCTTTCCTTGTTTATATAGGAGTAACTTGATCAGTGGAGCTGCGGTGGCTCAAGTGGTTAAGACGCTGAACTGCAGGCTGTGGAAGGTCGGTAGTTCAGCAGTTCAAGACCCCAGTGTGCCGCATGACGGGAGTCCCCGTCTGTGGTTCCAGCTCCTGCCAACCTAGCAGTTCGAAAGCAAGAAATTGCAAGTAGATAAATAGGTGCCACTTCGGTGGGAAGGTAACAGCGTTCCGTGCCCCTTGGTGTTTAGTCATGCCGGCCACATGACCACGGAAACGTCTTCGGACAGCGCTGGCTCTTCGGCTTTGAAATGGAGATGAGCACCGCACCCCTAGAGTCGGATTCGACTGGCTTTCGAGCAAGGGGACCTTTACCTTTTAACCTGATCAGTGCACAAGTGCTCCAAGGAATTGGTTGTCTGGGAATATATAAAGGGCTGATAACCTTAAGGGAAAGCTAAATGACAATTTGCGCTCTGTCACGGAATCTGATCTCAAACAATGCTGCATATTTGTTAGGCTCATTCTGGTTTGAAGTTTGTTCCTACATCAGTCGCTTTTATTGTAAGCTACAAAGGAACTAGAGTCAAACATGGATGCCATCCTTACAGTCTAAAACGAACGTTCTTTTTTCTGTATTAATATCCAATGCAAAGTAGAGAGCGAGTTTTATCACAGAGAGGTCAAATGCAAGAACAATGCCCTGAACACAAGACGTATCTGTGTATGGAGTACACACAGGCAGTGTTCCCTCTAAGCTGAGTTACTGTGAGCTAGCTCACAGTTTTTTAGCCTCCGGCTCACATTTTTGTCTCAGCTCAGGAAGGACGGGGCTCCAGAGCAAACTAATTTATGCAGTAGCCAAATCACCTGCTACAACTTTAATGCCAGTAGCTCGCAAAGTAGAATTTTTGCTCACAGGACTCCACAGCTTAGAGGGAGCATTGCACACAGGCAGAGGGGGAGTAGGAATATCTGTGTGCTGCTGACCCTGCTCCTCCAACACGTGTTCAGTCAAACATGTGTGCTGGCTCCACCCCCATGACATATGTTCCCAGCTAAAGCGATGGATGCCAATACCCATACAGTAAACAGGCATTGTGCTTACATTCAGGAAAACTCATAACTGGAGGGACTGGGGCCAACACGCTCACACCCATTCCCTCTCTGCAACTATCAGCCCTTTCTGCAGCTATGTCATTTGCATTCTTATGTCACAGGGGAAAGACAAAACTGAGATAACCCCCCTACGTAAATTACCCAGAGCTCCATGGAAACAGGGTAGGATATAATTATGAGTAATCCTATATTTACAATAGCCTTAAAGCATGTGAGAGAAAAGGCGGGGAGGAAGAGAGTCCAGGAGAAGTTTTTGGGTTTGTTTTGGTTTCTGTAGCTTTGGAACCTCGTGTTCAGAGGTCACTTTGCTAGTTTTTCTGGAATTGCAAAACAGAAGATCCCCACATAATTGCATAACTCCCTGAGTTGCAGCTCGGAGAAAGGCACTGGAGCATGCTGGGTTTATGTTGAAAGTACAAGTTGCTGCAATTGACGCATCATATTTTACCAAGAGAACACACTTCTGATTATTTTGAAAAAACAAAGGCTGATGTATGAACCCTCAACCCCACCACCCCTTTTTTGCACCAACATCCGTTTCTAAATCCTGACTCAGCAAAACTGGGCCTTTAAAAAAAAGAGTATGTACGTGCAGGAAAAGTACTACGAAATGTTAGGGATAACGGTTATTACTGTGATTATCACTGCTGTGTATATACTGGATTGTGATCAGATATGGCTGAGCCACGTTTCTTAAATCATACAGGTCTTGTTTTAGGTTATCAAAGATGTCCGAGACGATTTCGAGACATCCTTGAAGCACCAACACAGACGGCTTGTTTTCATTTGGACAAAATGACAGATCAGAAGGTTCTATTCTTTCAAGGGTGGTTATTCCAGAGGGGCACCTATATTAACTCTGTTGCAACCCAAATAAACAGCCCTTTAAAGACTAGTAAGATTTCAGCATCAACTGGAAGCCCTTGAAAGCTTAAACAGGAATAAAACCTTGCTAAATCTGTTTATTTTTACTGTTTGTTCAGTATCGTTTATTAGGGCTCTTGGCATAGCTTCAGTCAGGATCTGAACCTTGGGAGCAACTGCGTAAAGTCAGTCTCACACAACTTTCACACTTGCTCATATTCAGTGGCAGAGCATCTGCTTTTCATGCAGAAAGTCCGGATTCAGTTCCTAGCCATTCCCAGTCTAAAGGATCAAAGAGCAGGCAATGTCAAAGCCATCTGCCTGAGACCTTTGAGCGCTGCTGCCAGTCAGAGTAGACAAGACTGATCTTGACAGACTTGATCTGACTCGGTATAAGGCAGCTTCACATGTTCACCTGCAAGTGTCAAATCTGGACCAGGGCAAACAGCCCTAAATTAAATGAAAAGTGGCCCAAACTGAGCTCTACAGACAATATCTGGGTGGGTCGCACAGGAGCTGAATGCCTTTTCAAACTCCACCCCGCTCCTTTGTCTATTGAACAAAAAATAATTACACAGTATTTAATTAGTTTCCAGATTTCTATACGACTTCCATTTTGAACGTACTAGCAGCCATGTCAACTGCTAATTTCATGCTGGGCCATGTGATTTGTTTTAAAACGTCTGCTTCAACTCCAGAAGCAATGCTCTTCTTTTGTAAGGTGCTAGCTGAAACAAAAGCTCTCTCAACAATCCTAATAGGCACTTGACTACCACGGAATCTATTGGTGGGACAGCAAAGGAAATCCTCTTGCAGACGACAGAGGGGTTTCAAGTGGGAAGCACTGGAGCCTGTTCACGCCTGTAGAAAAAGACTATCTTGAAGACTTAAAAGAAAAGTGGGAGTCGAAAACACAAAATAGCCTGATGAAGATGCAGCTTTGCCCTCCAGAAGGCAGGGAAAGCTGAAGACAATTGAGCATCACTTTAAAAAAAAAAAAAAACGGGGAAGAGGAGGGCGAGTTGGCCAGATCCAGCCCCTAAGAACTTACAATATTCTGGCAAAGGAGATTTAGGTCACTTGCATGCTCATCTACATGCACAGTTCCTTGCGGAGCCTATAACTTGTCTCAAATAGTAAGGAAATGCTGGCTGAACTTGGCGGGGGGTGCTAAAGCGAAGCACCAAGCATTGACAAGGCCAATTTCCCTTTTTTTAAAAAAAAAATGATTGCACTTCTGTACCTTCAACTGCAGCCTACCTGGCAGAAATGAAGCGTGGAGCTTTTCCCTCTCAAGGCCAGGAAGCATTTCACCTGCATGTGTTCAGTCATGCTAAAAAGGTAAAGATAAAGGTTCCCTTGCTCGAAAGCCAGTCGAATCTGACTCTAGAGTTGCGGTGCTCATCTCCGTTTCAAAGCCAAAGAGCCAGCGCTGTCCAAAGACATTTCCGTGGTCATGTGGCCGGCATGACTAAACACCAAGGCGCACGGAATGCTGTTACCTTCCCACCAAAGTGGTACCTATTTATCTACTTGCAATTTCTTGCTTTTGAACTGCTAGGTTGGCAGGAGCTAGAACTAGAGACGGGAGCTCACTCTGTCATGCGGCACTCGGGTCTCGAACTGCCGAACCACCGACCTTCCACAGCCTGCAGTTCAGCGTCTTAACCACTTGAGCCACCACAGCTCCTCAGTCATGCTAGCCGGTGCTAAAGCATAATCCACTGCACACGGAAAACAGAATTATACTTCTCCTGCCTATAAAAGCTCCCTGCAAAAGAACAGGCGAGTAAGGCTAGCGCCTCCCTCCCTCCCTGCTGGGATAACACATTTTTATTTGCAGGTTGTTCTTGCAAAATATGACTCTCTGCCCAGCCTTTAGTAACACAGGCAATTCTACCTGCTCAGGATTCTACCACCTCCTTCTGCTGTGTTATGTCTGTGTACACACAGCAGGCCTCCTTCTGAGAGGAGGAGGAAGAGAACACCCCAAAATCAGCATCAGACAAAAGGCAGTTAACTTTGTTAAACTTCACCTGATCGAGTTTCCCGATTAAAAATCAAACCCACCCAGCTTCTTTCAATCCCACCATATTCTGCTCTTCCTTTACCTCGTGTGGGAGGTATGTGCTGCTCCACAACGCTGATGTAGAGCTGCAGCGTGAGCTGTGGGGTGGAGCCCAGGAAGGCCTGGATCACAGCCATGCGCTTGAAGGCGTTGCGGTGGGTGACCAGCCTGCGCAGCGAGTGGCCCACCTCCTGTTCCACCTCGATCTCCGAGTCCTTGCGGAGCCGCTTCTTGCGCGTGATGGTGACGTATGGCTCTTCCTGTGTCCCCACCTGGCAATACATTATCAACGCCTCCAGACATCTGCAATGAGAGAGAATCCCCACATCAGCGGAAGGGTAGAGCACCTGCCCTGCATGCCAAAAGGTCCCAGGTTTGGTCCCTGGCATCTCCCAGTACAGGACCTCAGGCAACAGGTATCTGGAGAAAGGTCTTTAGCGTTCTCCCCGGGAAAGCTATTGCCAGTCCAAGGCAACCACAGAACTGGAGAACTAAATCTATCTGCAGAACTAGATGGACCAATGGTCTACCTTGATGTAGTGCAATTTGGGGTAACCCCAGCCCTTCCCTTAATGATTCTTCTGTTTAGACAAAAGCCACCACTCTCCGTAGTGGTTAACTGAATTGGATTCCAGCTGTCACAAGGGAAGGAAGGAATGAGTAGATCCATTCTCCGTGGTCTGCAATCGCCATGTGTTCTTTGCAGGTCTCTGTTCAGCATTTGGGGCACTGACTTAAACTCTCCCAAAATGTTTTCTCTGGAAAACTTGATTGCTGGTTGGCAATTGGAAGGCCAGTGTGGGAAACAGGATGGGGAAGTAGAGGGGACCTCTTTGGTCTGACCCAGCAGGGATCTTTCTGTGTTTTC